TCTGCGGCTCCATAAGTCGGTCCGCCTGCAGCGATGATCGTAACATCACCTGTATCTCCATGAAAGAATACGAAGGATCAAAATTAATCAAAATTTGCCACCCCCTATGAACAATATAATAACACCAACTGTGTCTTCATACTCAATGCCGGTGAAGGTGCCCCAACATTGCAGTCAACCGTCATTCCCGCATGGAACTACGCCCCACCAACTGCTAGGAAAAGTCTCCCCAACTGTTTCGCCCATTGTAAACGCAGCACGAAGATGAAAAAGTACCAAAAAACTATCATCCCAAGTGTGCAGAACACCATGAGAACGCAAGTCACCCCAATGGTTTCAAACTATGGAAATCTATAAAATTATTTACATTATAGCCATTAAGAATGAAAATATTTCACCAACAGAAATGGGGACTTGCAGTAGAGAAGCGTGAAGCATTGGAATTTTACGCAGCAGACATTCGGATGCAGAATCATGCAGAGTTGATTTATGACGGTTGATGGGACATCCCTGTACGAGTTCACCGGGTCAGGTGGGGGATGTGATTTTCTAGTAGAAAATGTAGGTGGCATAAATTAGGGAACCAAGAAAATCTAGCAGCAAACATCAAACATCATCAAACCAATTTGAAGTAACCTAGAAAAATGGGCATGTATAAGAAGTGCATTTTCATTCATTTTCGAAGCTATATATAGCATTTTTTTTAGAAAAAAGCCGTACTTAAATTCCATAGTTTTGCAATTACGATATCAAACATGTTGAAAACCACTTCAAGCTAGAGCCATCTAGAGCCCAACATCCAACCCATCGAATTTCCACTAAAAACTGGGTACCCCCGAATTTCATGTTCATGGTTTTGAACATCGCTATCCCCATTCAAGTTGCCATAAATTGAGTATCCCTGTTTTCAGACGCACCCAAATACACTATGACTTACCAGTGCCTCTAGAAAATCAAAGCCACTAGAAATCTATGAACGTACTCCCAGAGATGCAAAATTTATGCTTCAGGATGTTGGGCACATCAACTCTCCAGAAAATCAGCATCTTACGATATCTCACGATATCTTACGACTCAGAGGTCTCCAAAAGTTGTTCTTTAGAAAAGTGGAAGAACTTCGAACGCATCATTTCAGAAAATTCGAAGTTTTCGAAGGACAGAAAATAAACCCTCCTTGGCTCCTTGGGGGGGTTAACCCCCCTAAAATCCTAAAGGAAACCCAGACCGGTATAATGGGACCACATATGTTTTTCGATCGAATTGACTGATTCTTGTTGAGGTTTGAACTCAAAACCATGAACATTGGATGACTTCAATGGCCATTGCAGGGACCTAAACTGAAGCTAGCAATACCTTGGGGTATTTTGGGGCTCTTTCATTCCCTTACATAGGTGCGCCATGGACCAGGCCAGGTAGCAACCTTGACACCTACTGAAACCTTGCCAATTCTGCGTGGTTTTGCCGAGCAGTTCGCTGGCGCCGGTTGTCTACATTGCGCCATTCTTGTAGTCCGCTAGCGCCTGTAAATCCCCTCATCCTTTTTTCCAGATTGCAGTAACGCGAGGCAAATTGAAGGATCCGTAGTTTGTTCCGACTCGGAAGTCCAATTTTTTTCGGACTCGGGCGATTCAAGTCGCGTCACCTGTGTCTCTACGAAAAACTATGAAGGATCTAAATTAAACAAAATTCGCCATCCCCTGTGATTAATCAGTTACCGGCCCCTGTGTTCCGCATGTCAAGCCCTATTCTCAAAAGTATGGAAAAACCCATCATTAAACCTATCATAAATGAATAAGTAATGTCAACATAGTTTGTAGTTGGACACCGACTGCTGCACGGCCGTGGCACAAAATGGTGTTTTTGCTTTTTTTGCGTTGTGCTATGTTTGGGGGGGTGGGGTGGGGGGGGTTGTCATAAAGTCCTGCATCTACGTTCTTATCCACTTTCTTCGGTAAACACGCTTTATGCTACGTTCTACCATTATTTTTCCTTCGGTAAGCACACTTCATGCTACGTTCTACACTTCTTTCTTACTTCGGTAAGCACACTTCTTGCTACGTTCTACATTTTTGTTTTTGTTTCGGTAAGCACGCTTCATGCTACGTTCTACACTTCTGCGGTATTTCGGTAATCACGCTTCATGCAACCTTCTGCATTGTTTTTTACTTCGTTCAGCACGTTTGTTGCCCGTAAGAACAGCAGCCTGGCGCTCAGAAGCAATCCGCCTACAGCTCCGACATGTCAGCGTCAACCATCAAAACAAAGAGTTTGTCCGCAAGGACCGCAAGAATAAAAGGCAGAAAGGTTCCACTATGGCTGGAACATAAATGTTGGATCGTTGTTGGCAAGCTTTGAAGAAGTTCGTTGGACCTCACTGGCCGCGGAAAAGAGGCAAGAGTGTCACAAGTACAGTGCACCCAGCATTGTCTCTTCTTGTTTTACAGTTTCAAAGGCGCAAGTCCATCGGATCAGTCTCTAGTGCCAAGTTCTTGAAAGAACT